AACCCAGGTGCAGAACCAGCACTTGGCCTTATCAAACCTCATGAGATTCCCATGGGCCCACTGCTCCAGCTTGTCCAGGTCCCTCTGGATGGCATCCCATCCTTCAGGTGTGTCAACTGCACCACTCAGCTTGGTGTCATCTGCAAATTTGCATACTCAGAGATTTCTAATCCCACTAATGTGATGTGATAATAGTGTAAGGCTATTAAAAATAAAAAATGGTTCATATGTACAGTCAGAGAGCAGTTTTCCTGATCTCTCTCACAAAAAAATAATATCTGATGTTGAAGCCAGTGAGTAAAGTATTACAGAATGGGAATTATTATGCATCCCTATTCAAGGACTATAATTTTATGATAAAAAAGTCATCTCTAACAAAACTAATTTCCTTCCATGGAGTTACAGTTTGGTTGATATGGTAACTACCTCGATAAAGTACGTTTGTTCTTTGATAAAGTACATTTTTTCTTAGGCATTATTACTACATATTGAATAGCATTTTCATTAAAAAGTAACACTCTACAATGGATTAAGAGCTGACTGATCGCATGTAGCAGGTGTCAGTGGAAAGTCATCATTCCCAGTGAAACTGTAAAGGGATACATAGCACTTCTGGTGTTATTAAAAATTCACATGAACCACATGGGCATAAATACAAAATCTTTGCTGATAAAAATTGTGGATAAAGCAAAGGATTGATAGAATTTTATATAAAGCTGCAGACAAGGAAGAAGTTTTAAACAATATGTATTTAAAAGCAACTTCAAGCCTGTACAGATTTGAATGACATGACCAGAGAGGACATAACAAGGAGCAGAGGCTGAAAGCTGAGGTCAGTCAGTTGTATCTTCTCTTCTGCAAATCTCTAAATGTTTATAAATTAGCAGATTTTGTGCATAAATTTTTTATAAATTTTTGTATAAATTTTTATAAATTGCAGTGCAGATTTTGTTACTCTCCCTGCCATTTGCTCATTGCTGCAAATCCTCTGAGCATCACAAGTATGTGCTCAAAGTTTGGCCTGAAAGCAGCAGAAAGAACAGGCATAAACAGTTTTTGACATTTAAATGTTCACCTATATCGGGGATCTCACAGAAAATCTCCGCAGGAGAGGGGAAAATTTTGTGTTTTCTTCCCTAAGAATGTATCCCTGGGTGTAACAAGGAGACCTGGTGGCTGGTTGGGTATAATAGATATGTTTTCAGTCCTTCACTCTGCTCCTCTGGACACACACAGATGTGCTGTTAAATGGGGTGGTAAAGCACCAACTTCATTTGCGCCTCCCTGAATTATTTTGTAGCTGGAAAGTGAATCATTGCAACAATTTTCTTTCCCTTGTGGACTATTTATGCTTGTGCCTTAGATGCAGGTAGGAAGGGAGGAGCCAAAAGGAGCACAGGACATTTGTAAAACAAAAGCCAACGTGAGGCCACAGTTCTTCAGAGCTGGAAGAAAATGACAATATTGTTAACTTTGGCCTTTCTATTGTCTGTGGCAAGAGAGTTCTGCTCCAAGGCCAAGCTCATGAGTTTGCTGTATAGTCCTGATTCCATAATGTGAGCTAAAACCAGGAAGATTTTGCTAGCTCATGCTGCTAGGAAGCCACAGTTCTTTCTGATTGGAGCTGGTGGAGGGTGTGTAATGTGCATGTATGTTTGCACAGCGCACGCCTGCCCACATGTTTATACCCGGGGGAATGGCTTGAAGTTGTGTCAGGGGAAGCTTATCTTGGATGTTAGGAAAATGTTCTTCACCTAAGGTGTATTTGGGCCCTGGAACAGGCTCCCTAGGGCAGTGGTAACGGCACCAAGCATCACAGAGTTCAACAAGCATTTGGACAACACTCTCAGGCACACGGTGGGATTCTTTGGGTGGTCCTGTGCAGGGCAAGGAGTTGGCCTTGATGGACTTGATGATCTTGAAGGTCTTTTCTAACCCTAGTGATCCTTGTGGGCCCCTTCCAACTCCACGTTCTATGATTCTATGCTATTAAAGATTGGAACGATAATTCATATATCTATAATTCAGACTTTGCCTCCTTGTAACATAAAGATGTACACTGCTGTGTCAGAGATATTTTATTTTTCCATGGGTATCTCGCACGAGTCCTGGCCAGAGAGGTGAATGACATTTTTGTGATTTTATTCATGTCTTCCATTTGTTTACTCTTTATTTGGTGATTTTTTTCAAAAAGTTTTTATTTCTTATATTGTTTATTTTATTCCATAGCCATATTTATTCCAGACTAAGACTGGGGCTCAGAAATGATTTTTACTGCACTGACTCAGTGCCTGTAACCAAAACAGCATTAGTTGTTAGAAAAGCCAAACTTTGAAGGATCAGTATAACGTCTGCCTGGGGCATATGACACTTCTAATCAAAGCTTAGTTTTGAACAGGAATAGAGGTAACCTAACTTTGGCTCTCACAGGTCTTGATGGTTTCAAAAAAAATTCGACTTTTAAAGTTCATCTGGTGGAAGAGATCTTCTCTTTTGTGCTGGGAAGTTATGGAGACTTCCCCTCTGATGGAGGGGAAACTGCCACATGGTTTCACATGCCTAAAATAAAGACGTAAATGGGTTTGAGAGAAGTATTCTGGCTTTCAAACCAACAGGCATCATGAGGCAAAAGAGACTTCTGGCTGAAGCTTACATGAAATGACCCTGTGCATCAGTCAGTGTTGGTTCCTGGTGTGGTGGGAAAAAAAATAAATTGGCTACTCTGAATTTTATCTATAGAAACAATGGATAATACACGCTTGCATGAGTAAACAGTGCCTGATCTCCCCACTGATGCAGCAAAGGGGTGGCTGGATGTACCTGACTGCTTTTACTGCTGCATTGGCTGTTCAAGCTTCTGGCAATGGCTTTTAGGGCCCCCTTTCTCTCCACTGAGATGTGAGTGCTTCATCTGCAGCTGATAAACTGGACCAAAAATTCATTAGAACAATAAAGCAGAAGAAAATATTTCATTGCTAGGCTTAATCAAAGTTTGTGGAATATTGGATTTTTTTACAAGGAGACAGAAAGCAGGGGGAGAGATATAGTGCCTGCTGTCAATGCCCTCAGAAAAGTCTATTTTTTTCTCAGGATTTCAGATGTATCTTTACAAAAGATTTCAAGGCAGACCTTCTGTAGGAAATCTTCAGAGAGCCCTGTTAGATTGTGCCCCAATGATGAGGGTGTTGCCTGGACTTGGGTCACCTTCCTCTCCTGGTTCCCCATCCCTTAGGGAGCAGTTGGCTCTTGCAAGCACAACAATTAATAACACCTAAGAAATAACATACTAAGCACCAGGTGGAAAGGATAGAAAATACCATCTGTATCAAGAGGAGTATTGCAGAGGATATGTGTGTTACCATGGGTGCGACTGGGCAAATGAAGAGGGGGGACTTGGCTGTGTTCACCTGGTTGTCCTTTAAATCAGAGAAAGGACAACCTTTTGTTTAAAGGGTAAGAAGTCAGGGGTGCAATTTTATCATAGAATCACAGAATGATTTGGGTTGGAAGGAAGGGACCTTAAGGATCATCTCGTTCCAACTCCCTGCTATGGGTAGGGACATCCATCAGACCAGTGTGCTTAAAGCCCCATCCCACCTGGCCTTGGACACTTCCAGGGATGGGGCAACCACAGCTTCTCTGGGCAACCTGTGCCAGGGCCTCACCACCCTCACAGTAAAAAATTTGTTCCTAATATCTAACCTAAATAGCTACTCTTTCAGTCCAAAATCATTCCCCCCTTTCCTATCACTGTCTGCCCATGTGAAAGGTCCCTGTCTCTCCTTTTGTAAGCTCCCTCTTATGTACTGAAAAGTGCTATAAGATCTCCCTGGAGCCTTCCCTTCTCCGGGCTGAACCTCAGCTCTCAGCCTGTCTTCACAGGAAAGATGTTCCAGCCCTTGGATCATCTTTGTGGCCTCCTCTGGACCCACTCTAATAAGTCCAATATATATACTTATATATAAATAATATAATATTTGTATACTTTTATATATATTGATACATTGTTGTTGTTGTTGTTATTCCAATATATATGATCTTATGGTATAGAAAAGATTTTATATTCTCTTTAAACTGATTCCCTGAACTACCTGTCCCCATTGTTTACAATTACCTATTGACCTGGGAAAACAAAGCATAAATAAAAGTGATTTCAAAGGTATGGCAGGAAAGAGGTGGATAGACAGTTCTCTGTGGAAAAGTATTTGACTGTGATTGTGTTGACACTAAGCAGGAGCATGAGAAATGGCTGACAAAAGCTGGGTATTTTCATGACTTTGAGACGTGTGTATTGGGTGAATATTTTTCAACATTTCAGTCATATTTAATTCTTTCTTCTTGAACAACTTCAAGGAGCAGACATGTGGTCCTGGAGGAGTGTTAATATGGGAATCACACATAACACAGTAAGATATAAGACAGTGTGCCTCACATTTTGTCCCTGGCACTCTCCTGGGGTGGGACCTTTGTGTGATTAAAGTCACTTCATTGTTCTGAGCTCTGGATTCTCTTTCCTTCACAGCATTTCAGGTTTGAGGTGTTTCTGTGTAGGAGCTGTCCTTTCTGAAAATTTTGGGCAGCATCCCAATGTCAGCTGGGCCTTCATAACTTCCCTTCCAACCAAACTGGGAGTAGAGTGATGTTCTATATTTTCTTAAGTTTTTCTGACTTTCATGCAGGAGAAAGATAAAAAAACAGAGAGTTGTCCTAGATAAGGGAAAGGCTCAGGTTATCTATTCTGCTTGTCTTCTTGTCTAGTCAGTCAGAAAAAAGTGGCTCGAACCCAGACACAGTATATTGGGTCTTTTGTCCATCATGCAGGTAGGGAATAGGAGAGAGGAAGGGTATTTAGGATGTGCAGAGACTGAGGCAGAATTATTGCTGAGGGACCATGTGCAAGTGTTGAACAAAACCCAGAGGATCAGCCTTTGCTAGTTCTGTGGCTTCCAAAATTACGCCTTTCCTTGTGATAATTTTTTCCTGGTCCTTTTGATTTTCAGATGTCCTGTGTCCAAATGTCCACGTGGAAGGAGATCGATTCAAACACACCAGTGGGGGGACTGATGAGATTCCAGGTAAACAGACAGTCTCTTCTGCTGTATCTCTGGGAACTGAAATAGTATAACTGTATGTTTCTGGTGTGATGCTCTGATTCATTACACCTTTCCTAGTTAGAGTTTATTCCAATATATCCATTTATTTATATTTATTCCAACACGTATTCAGTGGTGGAGAAGTATATTAGAAACTGTTGGACTGCAAAAGAGTTATGTGTTGACAGTCAACAAGAAATTAATAGAAAGCTTTCTTTAGATATGACTAAAATTAAAAAAAAAAATATATGAAGCTTGTTTTAGTAGCTAGAGGAGTGCTATAAGTCTTGGAGATCACTTTTTTTTTTACCAGTCTATGTTTAGTGAGTTTTAATGTCCATTTATTTTATCTGTGATTGTTGTGGGAAAGCCAAGCACAACGGATGAACCACTGAAGAAATGCTTGTGTGTAGATAGATAGAGAGACAGACAGATTTATATAGATATATAGATATAGATATAAAAGGATCTTTTTCATGAACACTGCTGAAAGATCAAGAGAAAAGCCAGTCTGGTGACATCTCTGCTTTTTTTGGGAGCTCTGATATATCTTTTCAGCCAGTTGAAGGGCTTAATCTGTCAGATATATGCATGGACTGTTCCTCTTTTCCAGCCCCCAAGACTGAGCTGTTGGCAGAGAAAACATGCCCATCAAGGATGTATTGGGAATATCTGTGACTGACCCAAGAACTTAAGTCACTGCAGTGGCTCTTCTGCAACTTGATTAGGAGTAGAAATGGTCAATGTTTGACAGCTTTGCTACTCGTAGTTTTTTCACTGGGGGATTTTTGCTGCCTGCACAGAATATCAGCTCCAATTGTGCAAAAAGTAGGATTAAGTAGGCAACTTATTTTGGCTGCAGCATGATTACATCAAAGCCTGTGATAATGTTGGGTGGTAACATCTTTTCTGGTCATGAAGACCAAGCTCATAATCCCAAAACACCTATTTTGAACTGCTGTCTATTGATAGGTCTTGAATTAACCTGTCCTGACAGTCCTCCTGTCCCTGGGCTGGGCAAACTTCAGAGCTGTTCAACAATAACCCTACTGATTCTGAATGAACCTATTTCCAGTGGAAGTGCTGCTCAAAATCAGTAGAAGGATTGTGTCCCTTCTCAGATGATCATCTTCTATGTGATTCTTTTCAGAAGAACAGAGTTGGAAATGGCTGTCTGCATGTAGTTCGTGTTTATCTGAATTTTGATTCAAGTGCTAATTAATAGACTTCATCTGACTTCAAAAATATATCTCCTGTTGAGCAATATAAAGGACAAGAATCCCAATTCAGACCTGTCACAAAGGTTTTGGGTAGAGTGAGATGTAGATGCTTATATGCAGTAATATTTATATATCTCTCTGTGTGTATATATATACATACACACACAGAGTTAGGTTCTTTCATAATGTTTTTGAGTTATTTTTCCTTTTATCTTCAAATCCCACTTACCTCCTATAAAACAAGTCAATATTCAGCATTTTAACTTAAAAATGACTTTTCAGTCTTAGATCTGTATGTTAGTTCAGGTTGGCAGGGTCCCATGGAAATCATTTTGTCCAACTTCCTACTCAAAGCAGGGTCTTCCCTGAAGATAGGTCCACTTTGAAGTCAGATCAGGTGGTTCAGGACCTTGTATAGTTGAGTTTCGTGTATCTTCAAAGAGGGATAATCCACAGGTCCTCTGGACAACGGCTCCAATTCTGTCAATATCACACTGATTAATTTTTTTTTTCCTATAATAGGAAATTCCTTAAGTAGAATTTCATTTATTGCAACATATCTGGTTAGGCTGATAGCTTAGGACTGTCATTTATTTGACCTAAGGAACCTCTGTTCACTGTAAAGTGTAAATGTTCACCATACCATACAGTGGTTTAACAACAGGACAGTTACACTATTTGATTAAAAATGATTATTCCAACAATACAGAGTATTTATAGAAGGCTCCCTATTGCTTCTACGTGGTGAGAAAATTATTTTTTCTGTTCCTATTCCTGGTGGTTAGGAAAATATTTGCCTCTTCCCTGGAAAAAATGGAATGGATATTCTGGATCTGCTAAGGGTTATTGTGCTGCTGGAGATGGGTACTATAGGACCAAAATGCTGTTCCACTCCTTATGTGCTCCTTAATTACTCTGTAGCATTTTCTGAAGACTCTGGGTTCCTGGGTCCAATTCCAACAGAAAATCATTGCCTCCTTTTAGCTAAACTGGAAAATACGCAGCACTGAGGGGAAGGCTCTTCCTCTGCTACCCAGGTCCTCATAGACACAAGGTTTTGAAAGTAACACCTGTGCCTTGTGCTCCAGTTGGAACCAGAATTGATCTTTGCCCAGCAGGCTCCTATTTTTACAGTAGAAGCAAAAATAGAAGTTAAAACATAAAATGAGCTATAAAAGGAGAAACTTTGTGACATGGAGGGGAACAGTGGCGTGACTGAGGTTGAAGATGTATGGTAGTTCATTAGGTCAGAGGCTGAGAGTGGAGGTGAGGGTAGTGAGGGTGGCTCCATGCATAATCAAATAACTGCAACAAAAAACCATATCTGATCTGGAGGAGAGACAACACTCTAAACTGATATTTTCCTTTTAAACGACAGATGATTATTTTTCTTTAGACAAACAGGACTAGGTAAATCTCACCTATCTGAGCTCCAGCAAGCATTTGTTGAGTACTGTATTGAAAGTCACTGCTAAAGTGAAAAAGGGTAGAGATTAACAAATGTAAAGTGAGACAGAAACTGGCTGCCAGGGAGACAATTATGAAGTTTCTAGGAAAGGGAGTAACAAGTCACAGGGCAGGTAGTGGTGACCTTCATCAGAGTCTAGTTTTAAGTCTAATCTCTCCTGTGAGTTTCCACTTTACAGATCGAGATCAAATATCCTTGAAGGAGGAACTGATTAGCCCCAAAACCAGGTAGTTTCCCCAATTGACTTGGGACTATTAGTCTAAAAGGCCTTTTATAGTAGGTATGGATCAATAACAGGACTATAAAATCATACTGTGGAAACTGATGGTGTTTCAGTAGATGTTTGTACATCACAGTGCTGTACAGCTGGGGAGAAGGCAAAGGTCATTATTGGCAGGGCAAAGTAGGGAAGAATTCATGAGACTGGACAGGCCTTTGGTTACAGCTTATCTAGAAAAAGGTCCTCCGATGCCTCCTTAGCTCAGGAAAGATGGATTTGGCCTTGAGGAGCTATTAGTGTGTTCAGGAGACAGAGACAGGCGAATAAAAATCTGGGTTTGGCTAATCTTGCAGTGTGCAGGTGGGAAGGGGAGATACTAACGCTTTCGTAAATGGATCAGGGAACAGCAGGAGGGAGATAGGGGAATCACTCAAGCTAAAGGACAAAAGCAATAATAAGAAATAGCTATCAGCTATTTAAGAGACACATTCAAGGCATTAGAAGAAGATTTCAAACTGTCAGAGATATGAAGTACTGGGACTAGAGGTGAAGTTGTACTAATGGAGACAAATAAACAGCAGTGGATAGTCATGAGTCCTCTCGTAGCCAAGGTTTGTACTCTATGACTCTCTGGTATCAAGGCTTTTAAAGAAAAAATCACTAGCTGACAAGGCTTTTAAAGAAAAAATCACTAGCTGAGGCATTCTGGAAGGGCTGCTACAGTGAAATCAGACTGCATGAGGCAAGAATATATAGGCAGCTTTACTACTGATACAAATTTTGGCAGTGAAGTGAAACAGCATCTGCTTAACAGTACATAACATGAATTCAGAAAATAATATTCCTAGATGAATTATCACACAGGGAATTTTGAAAGAAAGCAAGAAATCTCGTTTAGAATATCAGTATAAACACTATTTCTTTTCCATAAAATCTGATATTTTAAAGCAATGCTTAATGATGGTTTAAGAAAAGTTCTTAGAGCATTCTTGTGGGTGCTACATTTGGGTTTTTATTGGTTTTTTTTAAGAGAAATGAAGACAAAAGAGGATTTAACTCATCTACCCTAAAGTATTCAATATAAAACTCCACTTATAATACTTAATTTCTCTTATTATGCAGAATTGTCATTTTCATTCCATCAACATTTAACAGAGGATCACGACCAGGCAGGAAAACACAATGATAACCTTTTGCACCCTGAAGATGTGCCCGCTGTGTATTTTTATGAACAGTAATATGGCATCAAAACAACACATGAAAGTTATTCAGAATGAATTATACTTCTTGAGGTTTTAGAACTTCCCATTTGAATGATTTGTATTTTAAACTAGACCTGCAGGACATGGGATTTGGTTGCAGAAATCTGGATGATCCCTAGAATTAAGAATGAACTGAGCTCTAGTCCTGAGCATTACTTACCAGAGGCAATAATACTCCTCAACAGATACTTACTGTTGCTTTCAGGGGGAATCTGCCACAGAAGTAAAGTCTGCAGTGATTTCCACAGAGTTCTAGAAAAATAAACCCTGGAGAGGGACAATTCCAATCACTACATGGCATTATGCATCCCACACTGGATAGTGTTAATGGGGTAAGGGAGGAACATGAAAGCCCTGACTTTAGCTCCTAAGTAGTCACACAGGCTTTGTGTGTGAAGAACAGCAGAAATTGCTTTATGGGTTGTACCACAGATTGACCTCAACCTCCAACTCTCTTCCCCATCTCCGAAACCTCCATGTGCAAATGAGCAAAATGCCAAAATGTTTATGACCTCTATGTTTTTCTGTAACTCTGTAAAGGGTGTTGGGGCATTTTATGATGAAGGCACTGGTTGTAAAACTAGTACCCTCCAATTATAGACTGCAGTGGCTGTGTTTAACTGTCAGTGTGTCTCCAGTATCCTGTGGTTTGCAGCACAGGCTTCACATTCCAGAAATGCTGGAGACTCACTAGCTAATTACAATATCCCTGAGACTATTTATATTTGCCCACTAAAACACGTGGTAGTATGAGAAAACTGGAGTGTTCAGGCTGCTGAACCCGCAGAATGAGCACATCAGACCACTGTCCT